AAAAAAAAAAAAAAAAAAAAAAAAAAAAAAAAAAAAAACATCAGCTTTTCTCCTCCTCTCTACTCACGGAGTCTCCCTGGCAGCTTGCAGATCCCCCCCTGACCCAGCAGGTTCACTCGAGCTTCACATCGGGCTTGGATCTGGGTTCCTGGGGGTGGCATGGCTGCCATTGGGCTCACAGGAGAACTGGCCAATGCTCCCTCCTAGAGAGAGGAAAAACCAAGGCAATCAAAGAAGAGCATCCAGGTGAAGGCTCAGCCATCTTTAAATGTATTAAGAAATTCTTTTTGAAGGGAAAGTGTTCATCTTTACAAATAGGCTGCATCTACCTTAAAGGTAGGAACCATGTATGTCTTCAACTTGGTACCATCAGCATCTTGTACACGGTGGACACAATAAATTCCATCCTTCCAATTCAAGCTTTTTGTGCACAAGCCTAACTCCTCCAGAAGGGTCCCCTGCCAAGATGTGACTTGCAAGATTGAAATCTGAGGGCCTAGGAATACTCACTGGAACCTTGGTAAGAGGACACCACGGGGAACCTGAAGGGCCAGGATGAAAAGACCTTAAACCAGAAATGAATAAACAAACAAGCAATAGCTATTTTCAAAAGAGAAAAAGAAAGGATAAATTTCTGAACCCCAAGGTCTCGCCAAGGGAAGTCTACATGTTTAAACCTTTATGATCACATAGACTTCAGAGGTGATTTGGCTCCTCCATCAGGAGGGCAGGATGAAAAAAGCGACAGGATTCTGTAGAAACAGGAAGATTCTTGGGGCTCAGGCCCAGGCACAGGCTGCCACGTCGTGAAAAGGAAAAGTGAAACCAGTTCCAGCAAGTATCATTTTTTCACTCTAGGAGTCTCAAGAGATTTACATTCATCTCTTGGGGTCCAGAAGGACAATCTGCCGTGATAGATTTTCGATCTGGAGCCAGCAAAGCAAACTCCAGAAGCCTGGGGATTCAACACCTTTTGGGGTAGTTCCCACTTCATTTCTGGCCGTCCCTGGCCCCCCTGCCCCAGCTTGTGCTGTTTCCCAGGTAACCAAGCCTCAGAGGTTGCACCTGGGGAGTGGGGAGTGGGGGGCTTGCATTACTGGAGAATGGGCTCAAGGCCTAGGACTTGCAGGAGCCTCCTTGCCTACTTCTCCACCCTCTTCCAAGCAAGAGGAGCAGGGGAATTCCGGGGCCTTAACTACCAGGGAAATGCCAGCCAGGGAGCTGCTGGGGGTCTGGGTTTCAGCATGAAGGCCAGAGAAGGATCTGGTAAATGGAAAGAGAGGCATAGAGAAAGGCCTTGGAGGTGGGAGGGGGCCCCAGATTTGGGGGCGGTTCTGAGGCTCCTAAAAGTGCCAGTGGAGAGGGACTGCTGGGGGGGTGTCTCTGCTGATCGCGTTTGCCAGCTGTGAGGACCAGGTTTGTGTAGGAACTTAGAGGGACTTCACTTCTGGTTGGTGCTGGGCGAAGAGGAGGTGAGGAGATTGCAGAAAGGGTCTGCGGGGTCTGTGTGTGACGCCTTCGGAGCGACAAATAACACCGAGGGGTTGAGGGGGCAGAGAGAGTGAGGGGTGGTGACCAGTGTCCGGAGGTGGAGGGGAAGGGGACGGAGGGATGGATGGTGAAGGTTTGGGAAAGTGTTGGAAAGTGAGATTCCAGCCAGGAAAAAGGTCTGATAAATGGGTTTGGAAACTGAGGTGGTGGAGAGAGCGTGAGGGCAGGTGGCTGCGCCTGCGTGTTCCGCCGCCGGGCTCTTACCTGCATTACAGGTGGAGGTGAGGGAGCCACCGCCTTTCTGTCGTGAGCGCTCCCGGGCTGCGTCTGCCGGGGCCCTAGGCCTGCGCTCCTGAACCCTCCTCCCCAAACCCCTCACTTGGCCCCAAGAACTGGAAGGTCGCGTGGGTGGCAATCTCTGGAGAAGCGCCTGGGCGTGTGAGCTCGGGACCCCGGACTAGCAGACGCGAGGCGCTCCGGTAATCGCTTTCCTTCCGGGAAACGAAAACGAAAGAGCGGAATCCGGTTTCCAGTCCCGCCCGGCGGGCTCGGGGACGCCAGGGGCAGCACCTGCGGGACCGCCGGCCCGCGACGCTGCCCGATGGCCCGCCAGAGAGGCGTCGGTCCTGCTCGCACCCTCCCGCCGGCGGGCAGCCCCTTCTTGCTGGCTGGCCCTGGATCCCAGGGGGGCAGAGGTGGGATTCTGCGAGATCTGGGCTGCCGAAGGAACCCCTGGCCCTGGGCTCGGGACCGCGACAAACCAATTTCGCGTCGCCCCAGTGCAGATGGATGGGAGGGGGTCGCCCGTGGGTCTTCCTGGACCAGGTGCCTCTCTCCTTCAGGGTGGAGTGACCTTCCGGCCCTGACCTGGTCTTGGCTTGTGGTTTGGCCTGGAGGCCCCACAGCCCCACTCAGGGCCACCACTGTCATCAGAGCAGCAGTGGTGCTCACAGTCCTCTGAGGTCCTTAGTAACACCTTTCCCAGGCCTCTGGCTGCTCCAGGTGTGGAGCCCGCCCAACCACCACCATATCCATCTGCTTCAGCTCCCCCTACCCTGAGGGGAAGCCGAGAGAGGTTGTAAGCACAGAAGCAAACCAACACAAACCAAAGAAAAGGAGGGAAAAGCTTTAGTAACCTTCTGCTGAAAATCTGAGGGTAGGTGCTCTTATAAAGAAGGTTCAGCACTGGTGTATCACTAGCTCAAGGCCACCAATAAGAAACGATAAGAACTAGGCCAGCACCCTAGGAGATAACTGGGCAAAGGATATGAGTAGACAGTCCCCATAAAATGAGATGTCAAGTGGCCTCTGAACATAGGAAAATATGCTCAGACTAACTCATTATTAAAAATGTGCAAATTAAAGTTATTCTGAGATATAGTTTTTTACACATTATTTTGGCAAAAATTCAAAAGTTGTATTAATCTCCTGGAGAGGCTGAGGGGAACAGGCACTCCACTGGGAGTGCGAAGTGGTGCAACCCCATGGAGGGTAGTGTGGCGGGACCTAGCAAAGCTACAAATGAGCCAGCAATCCTACCGCTAGAAATTAATTCAACAAACATACCTACACATATCCAAAATACACATGGTTATTTATTTTATCGTGGTTTATAATAGCAAATGATGGGAAATAACTCAGGTGTCCATAAAAGGGGGCTGATGAAATAAATAATGGTACATCCATTTAACAGAATAATGTGCAATGTCTGATGCTGTCTGCAGACCAGGGCAAGCTCACCGAGATACAGTACAGCATAGCAGTTAAGAATCAGGACTCTGACGACAGTGTGCCCGGCTTGGAATCCCAGACATGTCACTTACTGGCCCTTGAGCAGGTTAGTTAACCTCTGTACCGCTTCTTTCTACTGACTACTGCCTCAGTTTCCTAAATAGTAAAATAGAGCTAATAATAATACCTATCACATAAGGTTGTTATGAAGAGTAAATGAGTTAACATCTGTAAAAACACCTAGAACAGTGCCTGACTACTGTGCTAAGCAAAAAAATCAAGGTACAGAAAAGTGTGTATTGCGTGCTATCTTTTGAGTGTAAATATTTGTATGTATTTTGTATAAAGAACCTCTGGAAGGATATGTAAACATAATAAACAAATTTGGAATTCAGGGTAGAAAATAAAAGCAAGTGTTTTCACTATAAACTTTTTTATATTGTTTTGATTTTTGAGCCATATGAACAAATACCTATTCAAAATAATAAAAAATAAATAAAAAGGAAGCTTTTAGGATCTGTTCCATGCCAGCCAGTCATAACCTAGGTGATGATGGAAATAAATGGGCATTGCCTGAGACTGAATAAAAAAATGGGGACATTTCCTTTTGCAAGGACAAAGGCAAGGCTACGTACAATCAAAGTCTATGAACCAATATGAGCAAGAAAAGTGGAATCCCTCCTTCACAAAAGAAATATGCACAGGTGTTTCATGCCTGATAAAATAACAATATTTATTTCATTTTTTTATATCAGATTTTTAAACAATACTTTTCCTACAAAGAACTCAATATGAATACATAGAACTTTTAATTTATAACAACAAACTTTTTTAATACTTGTGACTTTTTTTAAAGGGGGGAAGGAGGGAATATGAGGTAGACAAAAAGATAAAAGAAGAATGAAAGTTAATAACTATATAACAAGGGGCAGCAGAGAATGAGCAAAATAAATTCAACCATCAAAGGGCCCACCAATCAATTACAGCAAAACCATCTAACAATAGAAAAATAGTCCCAAGATTTTGCCTTGTGATGAATGTATAACTCATTCAGGTCTTGCACTCTTCTAAAAGGCAACACTGTTGGCCAAGGACTGAGCACTCCCAGTTTTAAGCAGGCAAGCTTAAAGGAGGATGGCAAAGCAGCGAAAGATGCCTACGGGCTGGGGGGAGTGGCAGCGGGAAAACATTGGAGTGGTCAAGGAAGACTTGAAGTGGGTCACAGGAGTGAGAGGATCAATAAAGGTGAGAAAAGAACCCAAACGTTGTTGCATCAGAGGCTGAGAAGTGTTTGGAAACATCCAACAGTGGTAGTGCTGGTGGGGGGTGGGTAGTGGGGCATCCGGGCATGGAAATAGGAATGTAGGTGGGCTTGAGTATTAGATTTTCCAAAGAGAGTATGAACTGGGAAGGTAGTGGAAGTATGGGGGCATGTGGGACTCCCACAACAAGAGTGGGAACAACAGGTCACTGGAGGGCATCGTACCCAGGGAGATGCCCAGGAGAATGTGCCCATTTCTGTGACCTCTGGTTTGAGGACAAGGAAATGCTCAAGGTTTCCTTACAAGGAACACTGGGACCATCCACAGCGCTGGTGTTTTCTGGGCAGCAAGGCCTCCTGGGTTCCTAATTACTCCTTGGGCTTTACCCCGAGGCAAGCACAGATATCTCACAGCCAGTTTCTCTGAACAGACAAATGGCCAGTGAGTCCACAGTTCTCCAACAAAATGATCATAAACCAACAGTGATGGGTAAAAAGAGAGGGAGATGGAGAAGGGTCTTCTTCCCACCTGTCCCAGTTGGATTCACATTTCTCAGAGGGTAGAAGAAAAACAGAACTTGGTGTTTACATTTCTTCTACAGCAAATGGCTATTCCAGAAAAAAATGCAGCAACACATGAACTCTTCTAAAGAAAAATAAGACAAAATGAGCCAGTGCATCTCTGCCTTCCTGTTGAAGATCCTGTTTTTAAAAAAGAGAGAAAGGTTTTTTAAAAAGCAGTTAGAGTAATCCAAAGTTAGAAATTTAACATACTAGAAAATATTAATTCAATCAGTGCTGCAAACAAGCTTCCTGGGTTGCTTTATGAATTGTAGGAGGAAGGAGAGTACTGAGGTCTGTTCTATACGTCCGTATCCTCCACGTTGCCTTGAAAGGTTCCCTCTGAACATGTTTTCCCATCTTGGCCATCAGCAAATTGGGGCACTCTTTTCAGGGCTAATAACCTATGGCTTTGGCTTCCCAGAGACTTTCCTAGTCTTCTCAAAGAAGTGAGCAAGTTTGCTTTGGGGCTGGAAGAACAGATGAGACTTAGATGGCAAGAGGTGAGGTGAATATTTGCAAAATTGGAGGTGACAAAGAGCTCACCAGGTTTGTGCAGCAGTAAGTGAATGCCACTGTTTATGTGGGAACATCAGGAAAAGGAGGTTGAGGGTCAAACACAACCTGAGGTCTCCCTGCTCCTGCCCCTGGCAGTCTGTTCTCAACAAGCTGCCTTGGTGGACTGTTGAGATGCGGCTCCTCTGCTCAGTGCTCTCAGTTGGCTCCGCCTCACTAAGAAGAAAAGTCCTTCTGTGATCTCAAGGCCCTATGTAACCTGCCTGCTACCCACCTCTCTGTCCGTTTCTTTTACTACTTTCTCCCTCACTCAGCTTTACCCACACTGGCCTTTTTGCTCTTCTTCAAACCTGCCAGACACACTCCTGCCTCAGGGTCTTTGCTATCCACCTGCCTGCAATGCAGCTCCCTCCGACACCTCTTTCAAGGTTGTACTCAGAAGTCACCTTCTCAGAGAGGCCTTCCCTTAATGCCTGTACTTAAAATTGCAAACCCCCCAACACTCCTCTTTCCTTTCCTTGCTTTATTTTTCTCCAAAACATTTACCATTATCTAATAAACTATATACTTTGATCATTGTTTATCTCCCTTATAGAATAGAAAGTCCGTGAGGTCAAGGAGTTTTGTCTCTTTTGATCACTGCCATATCTCCAGTACTATTTTTTTCTTTCACCTGCTACACCGCATATCTCCAGTACTTAAACAGAGCCTGACATACAGCAGGTGCTCAAAATATATTAGTTGAATAAATGAATGAATGAATGAACGATAAACCATTATCAGCAGGCTAAAGAATTTAGACTTTATCCTGCCAGTAACTAGAAATCATTAAAGGATTTTTTCCCTTTTACAGTTGATGTCAGTTAGGAAAATTGAACAAATTTCCTTCCAACACGGCCGATGAGAAAAGATACAGAACACTGAGTCAGATGCTTATATACTGAAATTCTAGTTTTTGCCACTGAGAAGCTGAGTGACCTTAGATAAATTATATGATCTCTCTGAAACTCACCTGCTTCTCCTGATATACCTATGACAGTAATTCATAGGGCCATTAGGAGAATTAGATGAAGCATATAAAAGGTCTCAAAGAGTGCTTGGAAGAAATTGTTTAATAAGTGTTAGTTTCCCTCCCCTCTTTCTAACAAAGAAATTCCCTATGTACTGTAGCAGCCAGGTTCCCAGAGGAAATAGATGGCACACCTAGATTAGGCTAATTCTGGGAGAGTTAAATAAAGAGACTATCTACGAAGGTGTGGGGAAGCCACAGGGGATGGTGCTGGTAACAGCAGAGGTGTCACCACTCCTAGGCCTGTAGCGACAGGGAGGGAGCAGTTTCCAGAACCCAGAAGGACAGAGCCCTCTGGAGAAAAACCTCAAAGTTATATTTAAGATTCTGAAGGATGAGAAGCCTAACTATTCAAAAACACACTTTATATCTAGGAAAATCACATGCCCAAAGATTAAAAAAGAAAAGAAAAGAAAACAGGTACTTGAACCAAAACTCCATATAACTAAATGGCAAAATAGGAGATGCTATTTTGAGAAACACAGAACACTTTTGCAAACACAGAGGACTTCCTTAAGTGAAAAGAACGAGAGAACAAGAAATGTGACAGCTCAAGAACAAACAATTTAGCAGACAAAAGTAAGCTCCCTGCTAGGCAGTTCCAAAAGCAAGAATAAAAGTTTCTTTAAATACATCAACAGCAGGAAGGCACTAGACAATCAATGTGACCACTTGATTAAACAGAGTACAAAAGTTAAATAAATGATGACTATATATGAAAGAAATACATTCTGCCAGATTTGAAATTCTGTTAAAGTTGCTTGATTTAAGCTTTGAAGCAGCAAAGGCTTTAGCATTTTAGATCCAAATTTAGGAGGAATTTTTAAAATTATTATGTTTGAAACATGCTGTGGTCTTTTAAAGATGTTCTAACATGCAATTTTGTAGTACAGGACAGATAACTTTAACAGTCTAGGTCAAAGCCAGCTTTATAAAAGGCTACAAGAAAAGCTGCGGCAGGCCTAAGGATAAATATATAGATCAATGAAATAGAATTGAGAGTCCAGAAATAAGCCCTCACATTTACAGTCAATTGATTTTCAACAAAGGTGCCAAGACATTCAATAGGGAACAAATAGTCTTTTCAACAAATGGTGCTGGGACAACTGGATACCCACATGCAAAAGAACGAAGATGGACTCCTATCTCAAACTGTACATAAAAATTAACAACAAATGAATCAAAGACCTAAATTTGGCAGCTAAAACTATAAAGCTCTTAAAAGAAAACAAAAGTGTAGATCTTCATGACCTTGGGTTAGGCAACTGTTTCTTAGATATGACACCAAAAGCACTAGCAACAAAAGAAAAAAATAGGTAAACTGAACTTTATCAAAATTAAAAACTTTTGTACTTCAAAGAACACCATCAAGAAAGTGAAAGGACAATCTACGAAATGGGAGAAAATATTTGTAAATCATATATCTGATAAGGAACTTACATCTAGAATGTATGAAGAACTCCTACAACTTAATAATGAAAAGACAACCCAATTAAAAACAGGCGAAGGATCTGAACAGACATTTCACTAAAGAGATAAACAAATGACCAACAAGCACATGAGAAGATGCACAACATTAGCCATCAGGGAAATGCAAATCAAAACCACAGTGAGATACCATTTCACACCCACTAGGCTGGCTTTAGTCAAAAAGAAAGTTAATAACAAATGTTGGCAAGCATCTGGAAAAACTGGGACCCTCCCCTGCTGATAGGCCACAATGTAAAACGGTGCAGCCACTTTGGAAAACAGTCTGAAAGTTCCTCAGAAAGTGAAACAGTTGTCATACGACCCCCAAAATTCCATTCCTAGGTGCGTACCCCCAAAAATTAAAAACGTAAGTCTACACAAAAACTTATGCACAAATGTTCATAGCATCATTATTCATAATAGCCAAAAAGTGGAAACAACCCAAATGTCCACCAACTAATGAATGGATAAACAAAATTTGTTGTAAACATACAATGGAATATTACTCAGCCGTAAAAAGAAATGAAGTACTGATAAATACTACAACATGAATGAACCTTGGGGAAAAAAGTATGTTGAGTGAAAGAAGCCAAGCACAAAAGGCTCCATATTGTGTTATTCCATCTATGTGAAATGTCCAGAATAGGCAACTCCATAGAGACAGATTGGTGGGGCTAGACTGGAGGATGGGACAGCCGGTGGGGGATGTAGGAGGAAATGAGAAGTGACTACTAATGAAGTTCTGGGGTTTTTTTTGAGGTAATGAAAATGTTCTAAAATTGCTTGTAGAGTTATAACACCAAGGTCAAGGGTTCAGATCCCTGTACCAGCTAGCTGCCAAAATAAATAAATAAAATAAAATTGGTTGTGGTGATGGTTGCACAACTCTGTGAACACAGTAAAAATGGGTGAATTGTATATTATATAAATTATTTCTCAATAAAGCTGTTAATTTAACAAAAAGAAAAGCTGGAGTTGTTCAGGGTCAATTTATTAAGATATAGGGATAAAGTTAAGACTTACAGGTAAATTGCAACTTAAAAGGTAAAGATAGGGAAAAAAGGAGGAAAAATGGAAAAGGAGGTTACATACATAGAGCAGTAACCTCTCGATTAGATTAAGGCAAACATAGAAAGTAGATGGTTGTGATTCATCCTACTCTGGTCTCTTCCCTTCAGAGAAAAAAATTAGAAGAAACAATGAGTTAGCTGATCAAAAAGCAGAAAAGTTGAACTTTTCTAGAATTCATAAAGTATAGTAATCAATGAAAACTTTCCTACAGAAGAAACTGTAGCATAGAAGAGAGATATTAAATACCATGAGTGTGCTGTAATAAATTATACACAGCAAAGAGGTGCTCAACCCCAAATACTGAAAGGGCAAAGGCAAAACATCAATGTTTTGATTTAGATAATGTTCATTGATCATTTTCTGCAGGTCAGGCTCTGTTCTAAGTAGTTTACATAGGTAATCTCATTTAATTTTCACAATAACCTTATAAGGTAGGTACTGTTACTATCTCCATGCTGCAGATGAGACCCAAGGAGGTTAAGTAACTTGTCCAAGGTCACACAGTAAATAAGTGGTGAGCCAGGCTTTAGACCCAGTATTTCAACTCTAAAACCAGCACATTTAACCCCTCACACCATAGTTGAATATTCATTGAGTGGCAAGTTCATATGTAAGTATCTCTTCTATGTGTGTTAAGCTTCCAGTGTAGAATTTTGATATGGTTGTCCATTGAAGGCCACAGGGTAAGGCTTTCAGTGAGGTCTTCTCTGAAAGGAGTCCTAAACAGAAAACTTACAGAGGCAGGAAAGTATTCTTTCCTCTTTCTGGACCCTGTGCTCTTGGGTCCAGATGTCAAAGAGAGCAGATAGCTAGAGGTGACTCCTGGCAGACCAGGGTCAAACAGTAGGCATTGGAGTGGTGTGTGGGTTTCGGAACCAGTAGATATGTGTTCAAGTCTTAAATATGCACTTACCATCTGTGCAACCTAGGATAACTTACCGAACTTCTCTAAGCATTGATTTCCTCATTTGAAAAGTGGGAATAATAATCATCCCAACTTCATTGATGATTGTAAGAATTAAATAAAACAATGCAAGAGAAACCTTTAGCATAGCCCCTGGCAAAGAGCAAGCCCTCCCTAACTGCTGGTTATTATTACATAGCTTCATTTTTTTTTTTTTTTTTCCCAAATGGAGTTAGGCCGGGGATTGATTCAGATTGATCCTTTGAGCCCACAAAGAAAGCAATACTTTATAATCCAAATTCTTATCTGGAGCTTCAAAGTCTCCCCTGAATTCCAGACTGGTTCTTACAACTCCTACACACTTCACAACTTACTAATTTGTATGTCTAATAGGAATTTCAAACTTACATGTCTCAAACAGAGCTCTGTATTTCCCCCCCCCCCAAATCTGCCCTTCCAAGTTCTCCCCATCTCAGTAAATGGCATCTCATTCATTCAGATGCTTAGGCCAAAAACTCTGGCGTCATGCGTGACTCCTCTTTTTCTCTCACTCCCCACATCCAATCCATGAGACAGCCCTCCAGGCTCCACTTTCAAATTTTATCTTGAGTCTGATCATTTCTCACCACCTTCTCTGCTACACCCTGGTCCCAGCCTTTGGGGGTCTCCTCTGGACAGCTGCCCCTCTTGCCCTGTGTACAGCCTACTGTCTGCATGACAGTCAGCTTCCTTTCTAAATGTAAATCAGCTTGTAGCACTCTCCTGCTCTTCCTCTCCAGAAGCTTCCTTTATACTTAGTGTAAAACCCAAGCACGTTACCACCCCCTCAAATCTAAGGCCAACTCTCAGAGCTCTCCCCACTCCATGCCAGCCATTCTGGGCTCCTTGCCATTCTTTACACCTGTTCCTGTCACAAGGGCTTTGCACTCACTATTCCCTCTGCCTGGAACACCTTTCCCCCAAGTGTTCCCATGGCTCGCTGTCTCACTTCCAGTCTCTGCCCAAATATCATCTCCCCAGAGATGCCTTTCTAGACCCCCATCCAAAGTCGCTCTCCATCACTCAGTATCCTCTCATCCTGCTCTGAGCCCCCATCCCTGACTGACTAGAACGGTTATTGTTCACCCCCCTACATTACAAGTTCTATGAGTGCGGGCTCATCTCTGTCCTGCTCACTCCTCTAGCTACCAATGCCTAGAACTGAGTCTGGCCTATAGTAGACACCCAATAAATATTTGTTTGAGTGAAACTGGTTTATCAGACATTTTATTTGGTTGCGTTTATTTCCTAAAAGGCCTCTCATTTTCCACATTTGGACCAAAGTATACAAGGACATGACCCTTCCTGAAGACAGCATGGCGGCAGCTGCAGTGATTAACAAGAATCATTGCAGGACATGTGCATTGAAGGGCAAGAAGTTGGGTTTTGAGGGGCAGCCATCCCTTCTGTCATGGTGCCCCATGTGATCATTCTGTCTCTGCTGCAACTGCAGGCTGTTCTGGAGGAAAACTAAGTTAGCTGTGGATTTCATCACCCCCAAGTTTTCAAACTGTAATCATTAGTCTTTCCTATTTTCCTCTATTATCTCTTATAATAATCAGGAAAAACTAAGAAATCAGTGGTGGTGGGGCTCATATTATAACCTTTGGGCTGGTTCAAGGAGGATAACCACAATCTCAGGCATGAGTTCTCCTCCCTGACTGTGTGTTAGATTCACCCAGGGAGATTTCAAAAGGCAGAATGCCTGGTCCACACCTCATGCCAGTTAAATCAGAATTTCTTAGGGTTGGATCTAAGCAGCTGTAGTTCTTAAAACTCTGCAGGTGATTCCAATATGCCTCCTACTTTAAGGGTGTGGAGTAGTTTCTCACACTTTAATGTGCACACATATCCCCTGGGGATTGTGTAAAAAGGTAGATAGATTCTAATCCTGGTGGTATCAACTGAGGCCTGAGATTTTGCACATCTAACCAGCTGCCAAGTGATGCTGACGCTGCCAGTCCACAGACCACAGTTTGAGTAGCAAGTTTGAGATCAAATGATGGCTTCGACTCAGGTTCACAATTTTAGATCTAATGTTTGGCAATCCAGACATCATGGATCCATGAGTTCTGATCATTCGCGGGCATCCCAGCCACTTGGCAGCCATTGTCATGTTTGCTCTTTCCTCCCAATGACAGGCCCTTGCTGGGGAAACCAAAGTCTCACCTCTTGAATCATTCTATTATCGATGCTGTCCCCAATGTGTCTCAGCTGCATGGCCACCTTGTGGATTATTTCCTCCTGGTGATGCTTCTGGCCAGTGCTGTTCTCCTTGGACTGAGAAGGTAGACCGTGATCTGCATTGACAGAAAAGAGTTCAAAAGAGATAATCCCATTTAACTATCTGTAAAATCACTTACTACCATTTACTAAAAATTGTCTTAGGAAGTGAGAGAGATGAAATCCAATCATTATAATAATTATCAAAAAGCAAAACCTTAAATTTTAATAGATCAATTTTATCCAATAGAGATATAATCAAGCCACAAATTTAACTTTAAATTTTCCAGTAGTAAAATTAGTTTTAGTAACATTTTACTTAAGCCAATGTACCCAAAATATTATCACAACATGTAATCAATACAGTATTATTAATGATATATTTTACATTCTTGTTATTATACCTAAGTCTGAAATCCAGTATTTATTTTATACTTGCACCATATCTCAATTCATGTACTGACTTTTCACTGGAAAACCTTGATCTGTATTTAGATTTCATTAAGTTGGCAGTTTAAAAGTAGACTTAGATATCCAAGTTGTTTCAAACATACTTAAAAGTTTTTTTAACAATTAAATTGAGGGCCGGCCCGGTGGCGCACTGCTACAGTGTGCCGCTTGGGAAGCGTGGCGGTGCTCCCGCCGAGGGTTCGGATCCCACATGCAGACCGGCAGCTCACTGGCTGAGCGAGGAGCGGGGGCAACACCGATCCGTTGCCGGTCACGAAAAAAAGACAAAAAGACAAAAAAAAAAAAAAAAAAAATTAAATTGAGTATCTGTTTTTTAATTAAAATTAAATAAAACTTAAAATTTGGTTCCTTGACTGCTCTCGAAATGTGTTTCAAATGCTCAGTAACCAAATGTGGTCAGTAGCTATTGTATTGGACAGGCAGGACTAGATCTTCACAGTTTTTTAAAATAGATTTTTCCATTTAATATTTTTACCCACTCTGCTTGAATGAAGCCTCCAAACTTTATTTGCTTCCATCAACCAATGGGTCTTTTTAAGCAACACTCTGAGTAAACTACTTGCTGGGTTCTTTGGGAAACTTCTAAACAATAAAGACAAGGTTTATGTCTTTTAGTTGCTTACAACCCATGGATTAGGGATGATACAATTCCAAAGTGCTTTAGGAATACAGAGGAGAAGGAAATAAATTTGGTCTAAAGTAGATAATAAGTATGGCTTCATAGATAAAGCAAGTTTGTGTTGGACCTGTTTCATTTCAATAAAATTTGAGGGCCTTTGATTTTTTCAGGCCTGTTCTCAAAGAGTCCAGTGGGAGAGAGACACAAACTGCAATTCAACATGTTACAGTAAGAGTGAGGTTTGTACAGAGGAGTCAGGAAGACATTCCAAGGGATAATATCTGAGTTAAGCCTTGAAGGATAAAGAATGACTAAGAATTAGGAAGGAAAAGAGATGGATGGAGGCGGCGGCCAGCTGGGAGGGAGTGGCAAATAGGACACTCCAGGCAGAAGGATCACATGAGCAAAGGCATGGGGGTTTGGTGCATAAATTCTAAGTAGTGCTCTTGTTGAAAGGCAGGGAGTGACAGGAAACAAAGCTAATAGAGTAGGCAAGAGCAATGCTAATGGAGAAGGCACAGGAAGAGACTTGAATTTTGTCTGGTAGAGATAAAGGGGAGTCTCCCAAGGGGATTCTTTTTTTTTTTTTTTTTTTTTTTTTTT